GCCCTCCTCGGCAACAGGCCACGCCCCCAGGAAGCCCCACCAAGAATAAAATATAATTGTTAGCATTAGTATGATGAAAATAACTATAATCAATGTTATTGTATATATCAGTGACGTGCGGTGAGGTTTATGGCTGGTGAGGCAGCCCTCTCCCCCGACATCCCACTGTCTAAAGCGCTTTCTTTCTTTCGCCCGCCTGACAGTGGGATGTCGGGGGAGAGGAGAGAATGCCTGAGCATTCCAATCTGGATATGGACAATGTGAATTATTGTTTTGCAAAACAGGAAACTTTACTTTTTAATGTAGTGGAAAGCGTGGGAACATTCACAGATGGCTTTCCGCCAGTTGGCACCAAGATGACATCCCCAAATAAAACTCTTCTTTGAGGGATCAACCTTTCTCAGAGTCCTGCTTGAAATGGGTGTATTACTTGAAACCCTGACATTAAACCAGCTCTCCAAAATGCTCGGCTCCAACTGGAGCCATTTTCCAGGGTCCGAAACCCTGGCTGCTCACCCGGGTTACCCAAGGAACAGAAAGACTCAAGGAAAACGGTAGAATGGAGGAGGAGGAGGGTGAAATGGATGTTTACTGTGGTGGCCACCTGGGGAGATGGCAGAACCCCTGGGATACCCAGTGGGCAGCAGAAGCAGTGGCGGAGCACGTACAGACAGTGGACATTCAGCCTAAGGTCCGCATCAGAATGCCGCCACCAGGGACTTGTGCCAGGTGGAGGAGGATTCCAGGCACCGCAGTTTGTTCTGAGGGCCAGTGGGAGACCTCCCAGTGGTGACAAGAAGAGAGTCAGGTGCCACTGCCATTCAAAGGAGAACAAGGACCACTGGGTTTGACAGTGGCATAGGGAAAATTGAAAGGGGGGGATATGTCCCAACAAAGGGAAATAAAAAGCAGACAAAAGATTTCACTGGGTTTGATCATAGGGAAAATTGAAAAAAGAGGATATTTCCCAACAAAGAAAAGGGAAGAGACCGGAATAGAAAATTGGGCTAAAAGACTTACTGGGGAAAAATCAGATATCTAGAAATAGTTATGTGGAGAATATAAAATTGAGGTATGTGATTTACTCTTTTACATGATAATTAAACTGAGTTGCTAATGGATTGAATATGATAATGGAAAGATAATTAAATATAGGTTAAATATATAAAAAATGAACACAGAATTCTTAAGAAGATGAACAAAAGTGAGGTGTGTATTGCTTGTTATTTTACATAGCAGACCAACGGAATTGTAATGAACATTGAACAGCAAGGATTGTTATTTAAAAAGCAGTTTAGAATTTGGGATAAAAGACTTACTAGGAAGAAATCAGATATTTAGAAATTGTTATGTGGAGAATATAAAATTGAGGTATGTGATTTACCCTTTTACATGATAATTGAACTGAGTTGCTAATGGATTGAATATGATAATGGAAAGTTAATTAATTATACAATTCCAATGGAATTGTAATGAACATTGAACAGCAAGGATTGTTATTTAAAGATTATTAAATGTAAGCTAAGTTAAGATATGGAAAAATGGAGGGGGGACATGAAACATACTTATAATGGAAAATTATTGAGATTATAAAGACAGAACTAAAAATTTGGGGCATGTAATGATGTATAACTATACAACATTATGATGAGAATAGCTGGGAATTGTAACCAGGTTCACATTCCGGCCAAAAATAATGGGGGGGGGGGTGTTTAAAAATACAATTGTTATATATGTATACTTTTTTTCAAAAAAAAGTAGGATATATGTTAAAGATGTTTATTGAAATGAAATTATAAATGCCATCAACATAAAATGGAGCTCGCTCAGAGGCTGAAATACACCAAGTAAATGAGAGGAAGAGTGTGGAAGAGAGGAGGGAGGTAAAGAGAAGAAGAGAGAGTTAGGAGAGGGGGGAAGAGGAGGAGAGAAAGAAGGAGTGGAAAGAGGAGAAGGAGAAAGGAAGGGGAAGTAGAGAAGAGAAGGATGACAGAAGGAAGAAAGGAAGTAGGGAGGAAGAGGAGAGAGGGAGAAGAAAGTGATGGACGGGTACAAATATTATGTATGGAGAGCAGAAGGGGGTTGGGGGTTCTTGGGAGTTGAGGGTTAGACGAATTGATGTAAATATTTAATAATATAAAATAATGTTGGTTATGTAACAGCATACATGTGGTTATTTGTTATGAAAAAATTAAAAAGTTTTTTAAAAAAAAAAAAAGAATATTATTCTTTGCTCAATAGTCTACTTCCTCCATCTTCTAATTCAATTTTGTGTTTGTGTACCCTCAAGAATGTTTGCCATAAAGCTGTTCCTAGATCTGGGCCTGGAAGATATGCCTGCTCAGAGGATGGCCGAGGCTCATGATCTTGCTTAATTCTCTTAGCATCTGCTGCTACTTCTGAGCCTGGGTGGGGCAATGCCAGTGAGAGGATATATATTTCTTAACTGTTGTAGATTTGAGATAACCTGTCACTAAACCTACTGCTTCATTGACAGCGATATCAATTGGTTTCACGTGTGTAGATGTGCCCCGCTCTGTAGCAGCAACCCTGGGAAAGCTAGGGATAAGAAAAAGGATCCCATAGGAAGTATTCAACTGTTTTGTCTCTAGACATGTGGTTAATCCTCATTCTGATGGCCTGAGGTATCCACAATGATCTCGGACCTTTTCGCCTTGGCAAAATTGTCCTGTTTTGTTTTCCATTCAGGAATTTTATGCTGAACGTTTTGGGCATGAAATGGTGGAAATCATCAAAGGTTCCAATCCTGTAGACAAGACCAAACTGGATCCTAATAAGGTAGATTCTACTATGCATAGTATTAGATGTTGCTGTGGATTGTATATTTAAATCAAGAAAGCATGAACAGAAAAAAGCTGTTAATCTCTAGGCCAGTGTTTCTCAACCTTGGCAACTTGAAGATGCCTGGACTTCAACTCCCAGAATTCCCCAGCCAGCGAACGCTGGCTGGGGAATTCTGGGAGTTGNATATGCTGACTCTGTAAACCGCTTAGAGAGGGCTGAAGGCCCTATGAAGTGGTATATAAGTCTAACTGCTATTGCTATTGTCCTCATCCCCGCTCTCTCCATCTGGAGAATTGAATTGGTTGAAGAATTGCCATTCTCTTGCTAACTTCTTTCTTTTTTTTTCCCCCTTTCCCACTCAAATTCTCTGCTCTTGATGCGGCCCGGTCCTGATTTGGTGAGTTGGCACATGTTTTTGGAAATGTAGTGAGCAGCTGACCTGATTAGTTTTCATGCTTTTAAAGGAACTGCTAAAGATTTGGGTAAAAGATTGAAGAAACAAAAGTGTAAATCTCACCAACCCATTTGTAATTACATTGATAAGTACATTTGTAATTATACTAATAAGTACAAAACATTTGTGGACAGGAAGGAAAGGGATAAACTTCCAAGGGAGGGAGTAGAGGGTTAAGAGCAAAGCATCTCCTAGAAAACAATGTGAGATTTCTAACAAAATAAGTACAGATTACTTCATAAAGGGCCAAGAACTGACAACTTTGCCATCCGAAAGGTAGAGAAATGATAGTGTTTCTCAACCTTGGCAACTTGAAGATGTCCGGACTTCAACTCCCACGCATGCACATTGCGCGCAGGTCGTGAACCAGCAGTAATGCCGGCAGGAACCCACCCCTGATGCATATGTTATTGGTTATTAACTGCCCAGAGTTCTTCTTAAAATGAGTAGCTAAATAAATGTGTTAAAGAAATAAATAAAAGCTGGATTCAAGGAAAGAATTCCTGAGAGGGGATAGGTAGCCAGGTTAGTGAGACACGTTATAGTTAGCTTAAAGTGACAGATCTAACTTTGCTGTTTTAATTTCTCACTCTATTCTTTTAGATTGTTTTAGAGAATGTTTGGGACGTATTTCCGGGTTGGTTTTTTTGGCAGCAAATTTGGAGACTTGGATGAACAAGAGTTTGTCTACAAAGAACCTTCTATTACTAAATTAGCCGAAATTTCTCATCGACTTGAGGTAAGAGCTAAGATATCCTCAAATGAGATATAGAAGAAGCAATTTAATAATGATTGAATATGTAAGAGGCAACAGAGATTGAATTGTGAATGGGAACACTGCATTAATTGTGTCACTTTAGAGCCTTTGCATGCACAGCCTTGATCACTTGGCTTGTAAGAACTTTCTGAAAAGAAAATTCCATTCTTTCAGAAACCTGTACAGATAATGTTTAAAGACAAATCTGCTAAATGTTGGAAATATCACCAGTTATCTAGATCTTACTATCATATGTTCTGGACACGTGGAGAAGGAAAGAAGTAATGGACTAAGATAAAGATATGGTTGGAAAAGATGATAAAACAACATATTGAGTTAAAAACCAGAAATATTTCTGTTGGGGATATTACCTGAAACTTATAATAAAGAGACTACATATTTAATTTTTCATATATTAACCCCAGCTAGAATTGTATTTGCACAACATTGGAAAGGTGAAGAGATTCATACTGAAGAGAAGGTGATTAAGAAAATATTAGAATGTGCAGAAATGAATAGACTAACATAGGCAATTAAGAAGAAAGAACAATCTGATTATTATATGATACGGGAGGTGTTTTACCAATTGCTAGAGAACAAAAAAGAAAGAAATTGGAAATAATAGAAGAGAAAAAGAAGAAGAGAAAATGTATTAAGGGAGAGATAAGAATAAAATATAATTTTTTTTTTTTAAATATATTTTATTCAATTTTCACATTCCATTTGCAATCATTTATATACATGGTATTCACTATAAAAAAAGAAAAAAAAAGAAAAAAAAA